GTGACCGCATATCCATGGGCACTGAAGTTGTGCGTGCTAGTGCCAACACCCTGCTCTCAGCAACATTGCCTCAACTCTTCTTAAAGAAAGAGTGATAAGGCAAATTCCCATGAGAAGGTAAACAGCGATCTATAAAGAGGTTGCAGCATATCGGAGAGATAGAGACACCCATCAATCAGCTTAAAGCCCACAAGTCCTGAGCAGAGAGGAAATGTCAGTTCACCGGGTGTTCACAGCCATATGACAGGAGTGTATAATCAAGGAAATGAAGTGAAGCCTGCTCCTTAAGGGCAGAGAAGGCTTGAAAGAGTTCCTGAAATATATCAGTGGGACAGACAGAAAGACAAAACATCTATCCTTGAGTCAGTAACCTATATATTTCCCACTTGCTGTAGGGTAAAATTATGATTTGACAAATAGGAACGAGTAGATGAAAACATTCAGAACAAGTAAATAGTTAACAAGTGAGTTCACCCCAGATTAATTGAACTGACAAAATGGTATCCATGAACAAAGCCTCCGCCACAGTGTTTTTTTAAGCTGGAGATGTGAGCTGTTGACCAATAAGCCTGAAAAATACATTATCTGAAATAACAAGTCTCTAGAGAACAGAAACTCAGTTCTTTTGTTGTCCATAAACACTGTAGTTGTGACCCAAAATTATATGCCATGGGGATGAAGTACATGGTGTAAGCTATAAGCTGTACACTATCTCTAAATGCTTAGGAAGCTGGTTTTATTGAAAAGGTTTGTATATTTAGGTTTTTTTTTTTAATTTAAACCCTTGCCTCTGACTCAATACCTACAGGAGACAGGATTACCAGCCTGGCATACAGCTTCCAGTGCAAGGGGTCTGTACACGACTTTAAGCGTGACAGGAATTAGTTAGATGCTGAGGAATGTGGAAGATACACCATACAAGCAGGACAAAAGTTGCCTTTCCTATAACACAAATCAAACAATACAAGGTGCAGAGTGTGTCCTATACACTAGGAAACAAAATTACTCTTAGAATTTCTCATGCAACTTAGTAGATACAGCCTGTAACCAACACAGACATTTTGCTAATATCAGCATTTACAGGGAAACTGAGGTTAAATATTTGGGTATAAAACACTGATTATGCTCTTTGAAAGAAGTTATCTGTGACATTGCAGACACCCAAGGGAGGCAGAACAGATGGATACAGCCCTTAAGGCACTTCTTCCTATTTCCCCAGGACAAGCCACTTAACAGACCTGGTCCTACCCATACACTTCATAGAGGGAAAAGGAAGACTGTTCTGGTGGTTACTGGTTTGTTTTCCTTTGACTTAAAGGAAGACTGGAAAGCCTCTGTACAGCAGTTACTTGAGGCAGCTCTCATTAATATAGTTATTTTGGAATAGGATGCACTACCTAAAGCTTCCTGCTAACCTAGAAAGTCTGTGTCTGCTTCTTCTAGCAATAAAAGAAACAGAAAGGCAAGAACTTAAACAAGCAAGAAGTTTTCATTATTTGATGTTTCTTCCCTTGAGAAATAGTAATAGTAGATAAAGTGAGAGCTCAAGAAATATTTCTCCTCCCTATGTTATCTAGAGAAATGGTTCACTTTCCACCCCACACTACAGAGACCAACACATTGCCAAGTTTATCTAGCCCTATACCGCAAATAATCAGAAGTTCTCTACTAAATTCACAGGAAAGCAAGCTCTAGTTATCATTTGAACACTCAGCTGTTTATCTTATGTCATAAATATCTTTCTACATTCAAAGTATGTAAAACATTTAAACCTTAAGTTAAACCAAGCTTAGTTTTCTGACAAGAACCACCATAATACTGCTTGCTTTACATACATGTAGAGAACACACTGGTAACCTATTTTTGTTTATACAAGACAAATAAGCTGTTCCACTGTAATAGGAGATAGAGAATATATTATGCAGCTAAGCGATAAGAAAGAAGAAAAAAGTTCACAAGGGTTGCTCTAACAGCTTTCACACCAGCTTTAGACCTTAAACTCTCAGAGAACAAAAGCCTTACAGAGTTGCTGTTAAAGCTCCACTGAAACCTTTAACACTAGAGGAGAGCCTACTCCACATGACTATGAAGAACATTAGCACTTTTAGTAAAAACCAAATGCGAGAAAGAAAAGGGAACCCAACTTTTAAAGGTGTCGTTATGTCTCAGATAAAGCAAGACATTAAAAAAAAAATCTATTATAGTCAATGAACAACAAAACCATAGCCTGCAATTAGCTTTTGAAAGAAAGAGCAAAGCTGCTCCACCTTACCTGACCCAGCCTAAACCCTCCATTCCTTCAGCCAGCCCCTCCTTGCCTATTTATGCAGGGCTGCTCTCCAGCCTCAGCTGTTGTTATTTATGAGGCTCATTAACACACCTTATAAAGTTCAGCCTGTGCCTTTCCTCTGCTTGTTAGTGAGGCTCTGGAGTGCAGAGGTAGGGAGGTAAGCTGTATTTCTTTCTCAGAGAAGTGTTTCTTCTCTAGCTTAAGTTCTTTAGGTCAGCTGATTTTTTTTTTTCCCCTTTGTAATCAGTATACTATATTATTTTACTATAAAAAAACCTCATAATGTTTTATATAGAGCTAGGAGATAGAAAAAAAAAAAGTATGTAGGGAGGAGGAAGTTTGGAGGAGCCTTCATTTCTGCAGCTATAGATGAGCTTGACCTGCTCATCATCAAGAACCTGCTGCCTAAATGGTAATGCTTGACACAAGACTGTGGGGTGGACTGTTATTCATTTATTTTCTTAACAGTGCAGTCTGATATAAGGCCTGTTTCCTTCAAGGCGGCTCCCTGCAGAGCTTTAAGGAAGTTGCTGATCTTGTTAGGAGCAGCAGGATCACTCGTGCATTTACATTTGCTTGTGCATAAGAGCTGCCAGGGTCTGAAGCTGGGATGCAGATTCTGTAGGCTTTTCTCTATATTGACGTTGCTATGCCAAGGCTACTTTTAAAAAACAAACAAAAAAAAAAAACCAAAAAATCCCCCCAGAACTGTTAATGAAGTAGAAGCCCTGTGGACCTGCGTAGTGGGGGAATATGCCAAATCCTCAGCCAGCCGAAGGGTGGGGAAGGAGGTGCACATGAAAGCAGGAGATGGGAAGCTGGGTACGTGGAGAGGATGGGATGAGATGAGCAGGGCTGCCTTATGTAAAGGGGTCTTTGACTTCTGCCTCAGGTTGTTTCTGCATTTTATATTAAACAGTCTACTTGATAAAACGCATAATCTGCAAGTGAAGGGTTGAAGTGTATCTCCTTTTATAGAGCTGACTGCCTTAGTCATGGGTTTAGAGTCCCTTTCTCTCTGCTCCTATTTTTCAATGCTCCTATGAATCTTTAATCCTTTCCTGCCAGCTCTGGCAGGAGGGGGAGAGTCTCTTCCCTGAGCCCAGCCTGTAGCTGTTCTTCTGCAGAATGAGCAGTATTGATTTGAATTTGCTTGGGCTGAGGAAAGCACCGAAATGTTATATTCCCTAGACTAGTACAACAGGAGTGATTATCAGCTGCTCTTCTTCTTCCCCAGCTGTGCCCTGCAAGGCAGGGCTCCCAGCTGACGGGAGCAGGAGATGCTCTCCTGCCTGGCCAAGCTCAGGACTTGCCCACCGGGCCGTGCTTGGCTGGAAGGTGAGCCGGAGCTAACCAACTTTTGGGGGCCTCTGGGATGAGAAGGGAGACTGACACCACACAGTCACCTGCCTTGGATTAAAAAAACCCAAACAAGCTGAAATGCACCCTAGGATTGCAGGGCTAATAAAATAGCCCATGTTCTGGC